GTCTTTCTTTTTCCGCCTTTTCTTTCTCAATTCTTTCTTTTTCCGCCTTTTCTTTCTCAATTCTTTCCTTTTCCGCCTTTTCTTTGGCCAATCTTTCCTTTTCTGCCTTTTCTTTCTCAATTCTTTCCTTTTCTTTCTCCTGTCTTTCTTTTTCTGCTTTTTCTTTGGCCAGATTTTCTTGTTCCACTCGCTCCCTCTCTGCTTTCTCCTTGGCTCGTATCTCCTCTTGTTCTCTTTGTATCCGTTCCTTTTGTAATTTAGCTTCTGCCTCTTCTTTGATTTTTTTAGCAGCAAGAGTAGCCTGTCTCTCCTCTTCCTCTTGAGCCAAAACACTACGGACCTCAGCAAGGGCTAGTTTGGCGATCTTTTTGGCTTCAATCTTCTCGTGAATCATTCGTAGCTGCTCCTTCAGAGCTGCTTTCAGCTTTCGCCCAACATCTCTGGTAGGATGTTCTGAGAATGAGTGGGACAAAAGTTCACATCTCAGACGGCTCATCACTCGTCTTCCATGCAAACATACATATTATATGACTTAACCTTAAGTATCTAAATAACTATCTACCTTTCATGATTCATGCGAGGGGGAAAAGCTCAATCAGTTTCTTAATGGACAGTAATTTCTGTGATTTCTGAGAAATACTGTTGATATTTAAAAAATTGACACCCAAACAAACAAACAAACAAACCCCTACCAAAATCGGACAGCTCACACTGTGTATGCAAGTATAGTCAAATTAGCTGTGATTCAACAACCGCCGGTTCTCAACACAGGATTTGCACCAAGAGGCAAAACCCTACATTTAAGGGCATACAAACTCCTAGTAGAAGAAGCCCTTGCACTCCCATTGATCTCTTGAATTTCAGTTGGAAGACCTTGTGTCAACATAGAGAGCACCCGTTCAGCGGCTAAAGGCCGTTTAGGATCTAAATCCATGGGGTTGGATCAAGCGGCAACCTGCCTGTCTCTCTCTTGAAACCAACACGGAAGTGACTTAAACTGCCATTCATCTACTGGCCGCTAGAGACCGGCTGCAGAAGAGAGTCAATCCCATAGACCTCCATGTTAAAGAGAGTCAATCCCATAGACCTCCATGTTAAAGAGAGTCAATCCAATAGACCTCCATGTTAAAGAGAGTCAATCCCATAGACCTCCATGTTAAAGAGAGTCAATCCCATAGACCTCCATGTTAAAGAGAGTCAATCCCATAGACCTCCATGTTAAAGAGAGTCAATCCAATAGACCTCCATGTTAAAGAGAGTCAATCCCATAGACCTCCATGTTAAAGCCATCAGCCATCTTTCTTTCTAACATCGTCAAGCTTGCTCCATCTTCCCTCCCCAATCGCCACCTATTGCTTTGTGCTCCGTGGTTCAGTCCAACCCACTTTGTTTTTTCTACTTGCACAGGCAAGAGTACGTACAAACACAATGTTTCTTCTCAGCACACACACGAAGAGCTGATATCTAGCATATATTCACAAAATTGTTTGTTTGGGTGTTGAATTCAATTTCCAACAGCATCTCAGAATTCACTTTATCTCTCTGTACCCTTAGTTCAATTTTTGCAATTTTTTGCTGATTTTTTTTTGTGTCTATATTTAAAAAAAAACATGCAAGCAATTAGAAGATTTTAAATGTTAGTTGAAGTCTGTACTGGCTTTTATTGAAGAATAATTATTTGTAAAATGTGATTAATTTGAAATTCATTCAAATAATGCATTTGGTAAAATTGCATGCTTGTGATCATTTGACGTACAAAAGTATTGAGGACTCCAGAGACTAATGACATCACATTTTAAATACATTAATATGGATTATAACATTGCGGCCTGTGTATTGAACATTCTAGAGTGTAGCGCTGAAAAATCGCAGCATATATATTTATACACAACTACTGCGCACTCTCAAAACAACACTCAATGCTAAATGCTTCAGCGTTTTGAACGAATCTGTCGAATGAAGGATTCAATGACTCAATGCCAACACTGGTGGCTGCATGTTTAAAAGTAGCATTGCATTTTTCCCAACATTTCTTATTTATATATTCAAACATTTGTGCAAAACATTAAATCTCTTACCATTATTTACAGTAGTTGTCATTGTGCATGGCTAGATGCTTTTATATACCTATGGCGATAGGTCTGATCAAAGGTGTGTCCCAATACTTTTGTCCAAATGGTGTGCGCAAACACACACACACACACACACACACACATCCACAAAAAATATAATAAGTATCCTATGTCACACGGAAGTTATATAGGTTTTTGGAACAACATGAGGATGAGTAAATCATGGTATACTTATAATTTTTGGGTCAACTATTGCTTTAAGTGTACATTAGTATCCCTAAAGACTGTAAGAGTTTAAACATACTAAACTATGAAATAAATAAATAAACCAGAACAGCATAAACAACAGATTTGTCGATTAAAGCATGCCATCAAAAAGCCGCACTGAAGCAAGTGTATTGTGTAGCAACCCCAGAACTCATGCAAAATACCTCTGTCATTTCTAAACCCCACTTCTTTCGGTCTCTCATCTGCGTTGAAAGAAGGACAAACAGTGAATGACAACCTGCACTTCTGCTTCGAACGAAGACGTGTAAATGTGGCAAAGTTTGAGAACACATGCTCCACTAAAACAGCTAGAGGTGAACCGATAACGATAACTCTGTTAGCCCACGCTGGCCGATAACTGATTAATCAACCGAGAATCCTCTCATTATAACCGACAAAGAACAGACATGATGTAAATAAGAGATTCATTGAGCAGTGTAGACAACTTCACTTGCAATTTTGTAAAATATTCCTGTGTCAAGTTGCCTGAAAAGCACCTCATACGAGCGTAAAAACAGTTTTGCAATATATGGAAGTTTTCCCAAAATGTACGTGTCAATTCGCAATTTCAAACTTCGCAATTTGAAGGAAAATTGAAGCGCAGTTTCTGTTTTCTACAGAACTGAATGAAATCATTTCATATTTGATGATCTTTACACAGTTATTGAATGAAACTACATTAGCTCAACACTGATCATATGTGTGTGAGGATGAGTAAATCATGATATACGTATCATGTTTTGGGGTCAACTATTGCTTTAAGTGTTCATTAGTATCCCTAAAGACTGTAAGAGTTTAAACATCCAAAATAAATAAATAACCCAGAACTCATGTGAAGTACCTCTGTCGTTTTTTAACCCCGCTTCTTTCGGTCTCTCATCTGCATTGAAAGAAGGACAAACAGTGAATGGCTTCAGACTTCAGTTTATCTGACTTTACACGTCCTCAAATCTCTCTATAGCGTGCACTGAGTCGACATCTTAATCATCAGATACACACATTTCACATTCTGATCTTTACGGAGATTAAACAAGCACTTGATGAGCGCAGTATTAGTATAGTATGTGATACACACTGCATTTCAACATCACAAGCTTCTCTATATCAACTCTGCAACATTCAGGGATCCACACACTGATGCGTTACATGAGGACCAGGAGTCACGCTTAATAATTCACATGATGAACACACTTCGGTCAAGCGTGGGTGCCGAAAGCCAAGTCAGGATAAATGCTTCTTTAAGACCTCGAGCAACACACCTCCCAACATACAACCATAGACATTAGGGCTGGGTAATAAATATCGATTTCTCGATATTAATCGATTCTCATTTTTACAAACCGATATCGATTCTTAAATCTCAAGAATCGATTAGTCATCCTGTTTCATTTGAATGAATGAGAGATTGTATCGCGGCTGCGCGCATCCAACAAATCGCAATAATCTTTGTCCTTTGTTACTATTGATATGAAACAAAGTCTCAATTTTCAAATTACGTCCATTTTCTTTAGAAATTCAAAAACACAATTAGCGTTTTGCCGTTTTGGTGTAAGATCGCTCTGAGAAGCAGCAGCGCTGATCTCACTTCCGGGTTAATAATACCAGTCACAGCGCGAAATAAACATGACTGAGCATCTGAAAGTGTGTTAAAGTATAGACTACAACTTATCGAAATCCGGATCATGTCACATTGATTCCCTCAATCTGTGTTTCAACCGTGGAAAGACGTCAGTTAAACAGCTTGTAATCAATGTCATCGTCATATTTACCTCAGAAAACCCACATCAACTCGTTAGTCCACACTCGTTAGTGTTCTTCAATATTTAATGCATATTTGAATAAATATGGCAAGTTTTTTATGACAGACACCATTTAAATGTTTATATTTCATATAATCTTCTTATTATAAAAATAAATAAAAGTGTAATTTAAGTGTTTGTATAGCTACAAAACAGTTCATTGTTACCTTCATATTAGGCTACTGAAGCCTATAGGCTACAACTAGACTATATAGACCATAGTTTACAGCAGTTAAGAGATTTGATTCCCTTGAGAAAAATGGCCATTTATTGTAACTGATATCCAAAATAATCGATATTGAATCGAATCGAAATCGAATCGAATTGTGAAATTTGTCTCAATACCCAGCCCTAATAGACATGCTACAACTCAGCTTTCTCAGAGCAATCACACACACACAGAAGCCACACTTTATCTTTACATGAGCTCTTGGAGTGAGCTTGGACACGGTTTTCCTCCGGCGCAACGTTTTTTCTCAAGGTTTTGTCCTTAGTCGCCACAGTAGTGTTCTCTGAAGAGGAGAAGGTTTACAGATAACACACAGACGGATTAATGAACGCAAACCTCCTTCATTTTTACAGCACTGTATATGAGCCAAGTTCTTCACAACTGACATAAATGTGCATTACACTCGCAGATTTGACCATTTTTATGTTTACCTCGCAAAAACAAAACCAACAAGTACTTCATGACAACAACATCAAATGACAGGAAACCTCAAAGCATCACTTCTGCGAGATCACGAACACAACAGCGGAAGAGCTCATGGTTAGACCACTTCCTTGTCTCACATGTGTGTGTGAACGTGTGAAAGAACCTTAAATACACATGAAGGGGAAACACCTACACACACACACTCACCCAACAGAACTTTGGCATCTTCTACATCGAAGTCTCCATCGCCGTCAGCATCGTAAACTCTTCCAAGCGCACCTTTCAGTGAAGAAAACACTTGTTGAACACTGCACACAAGATAATCGAATAACTCAATAAATCATAATCACTGATTCCTAATTTCGTCCATTTTCTTGTGGCCAAACCTTCCGCATACAAACTCGGCTACGCATTGCCTTTCGGTGGCATTACGCTAATGTTTCGCATTGTGACATGGACGTTTGCAACGTGATATTGGCGTTTTAGGCCGGTCTGGATTAGTGTTTTCTCTGTTAGACTATTAGATCTTATAAACACACACAACCAGTGGACCTCTGAGCTGAGTGAGTGAGTGGAGGCGGGGCTCATCTGCATATTCATAGAACTGCGAATACTAAATAAGGTGTCGAGTTACATGCAAGAAATAACATTTAAATATGTAATTTTGCTAATCAAAGATGAGTTTTGAGGGCTAAAATGATCAACTACAGCAGGAATTTAAGTATTCAGAAAATAAAAAAGAAATGTGTTTTAAAGGTACTAACCAACCACACTGTTGTAGTCGGCGAGGTCGAACCACACGATTCCCACAGAGAGCCAAGCGCCGAGAAGAGCCAGAACCAACAGCCAGCTGAAGAACGAGTTTCCCGCACTCTTAGTGACGGTGTTCCCAACCGGAGACTCTGAGGACACACACACACACACACACACACACACAATCAGATGCTACACGTAACAGTGTAAACTACTGTATCTGTCAGATGTCCTTCCAAGTTCAATATGAATGAACTAAAGGCTCAGAAATACTTCAAACGAAATCGAAGAACGAAATGGTGTGACGTCGTTCCAAACTAAATCAGGCAAACAGCAACGATAAAGTACAAATACAATATAAAATACTTTAAATTACTTTACTTTGAAGTAGAGCCCGACCGATAAAGGATTTTGAAGGCCGATACAAATATTTCTTGGTTTTAAAATCCGATATTCGGCCGATATTTTTTTTTTTTTTTTCATTGACAGATTTCCCTAACATTAGTTATTTTGTAGTTATTTATGAATTTTAACTAAAATAATATGATAATGCATTTTAAAAAGAAACTTGTTTCTTTTATTGTCACAACAGAACAGACAGATGATAGTGGCATTAGCTAGCTTTGTGGTTAGCTAGTCTATGATGAGCCATAATTTAGCAATAGATAACATCATACTGCAAATTGCAAAATATCCATTTTCAATATAACAGGGCGAGGAGAGATGATGCGTCTCATTGCTGTAACTGTCACGCGCTATTAAAGAAATACTTCAGTCACATTGTCAAAAGTTAAAAGGACAGTCAGTCAACTACACTGTAACAACGTAACATAACTATTATGTTTATTTTATTTAAATATTATTTATAACTGCCGATACGATAGTCTGGAAAATGCCTGATATCGGCTGATAATATCGGCCTGCCGATATATCGGTCTGGCTCTACTTTGAAGTTTAATTGCTTTGGTACTATTTTCACAATTCAAGTTTCAAAACTCTCACAACATATCAAAAACATTTCAGCATTTCTTAATTTAGTACAGTACACACAATTACAAACTATTCATTTCACTGCAGATAATAAGCAGGGATGCACCGATATGAACATTTTGGCCGATACCGATAACCGATAATTCTTTATATTTGAATAACCGATATATTGGCCGATAAATCTAAACCCAAATTTTTATATAATTTTTTTAAACCCTGATTACAAAAACAAGTCTCACCATTAAAAGCCACGTCTCAAACACACAATTATAATATTCTCATGAAAGTTTTATGTAGCCGATATGACACATGTTTTTCGGAAGTGATTCCAATCATATTTCAAGCGACTCAAAACCCTCATGTTGAACAGTGCGCAACTGAAGCGTCTCAGAAGGAAATAATAGATTATTTATCAGCTTTAATATATCACGCCGATACCGATAACGTTAAAAATGAACATTTATTGGGCGATACCGATATATCATGCATCCCTAATAACAAGTGTTTTTCCGATAGCCTTTTCATTCACAGTAACCACATTTTATATGCAGTACTGCAGTGTGCTTACAGAGACTCCGCCCACACGCTCTTCTGATTGGCTGTGATTTTTTCATGCATCTCATTGTTTTGTCAGCCATCAGAAAACCTAAAGTTTTATAATTTGGAACGACATGAGGCGAGAAAATGGTGACAGTTGTCTTCTGTGGGTGAACTAACCCTATAATATTGATGTTTATTGTAAATGACGTAAATGGTAATACTGGATCTTCTGGCTTATTCTTTGAAAGTACATGTACAAAACCTAAATGAAAAAGCTCCAGGGAATGGTTCACTCGCAGAGACGAGCAACAAAGGGTTAAAAAAAGCCATAGCCCATAGGGATTGTATTACACTTGAGTGGGAAGGTCATCTGTATGTTAATGCACTAACAGACACATGTTCATACTGTAACCGGCTCTATCTTAGTCTAAACACGAAAGGGGCGTGGCTACATACATGTGGGCGTTACCCTGAGAAGATTGACAGGGCCGGTAAAATTAGTATCGCAATGATTAGTCACTCCAAACACAAGCAATTATCAAATGAAATCAGTTCATGAGTAAAAACAACACAGGAGTTGTTACAAGCAAAACTCGATGGCATGTATGAACAGCAAATGGAGTAAACAAGCTCACAAACACACTAGAGATGAACTTTAGACCAGTTCAACATCTACACTCTCCGTACGAGATTTAGCTCACACCACACCAGCAAACATGCACTATACCTGTGGTTTTGTCTCCGTCTACACTGGTTTCGCCCATCCTTGTGGGTTTATAGTTTTTGCAAACAAAACTGCAAAAGAAAAGCAAAGCTTTTTTCTGCTCACATGAAGCACTTCACACTGGTTTAGCTGACACACGATATATGCACTGCCTCCTGGGTATTTTTAGTGCCGCTGTACACACACCCTCTTTTGGACCTCATATGGGGACAACAGTTATAGCTAAACACACACACACACACACACACACACACACTAATACAATTGACCCTTCGCTAGGCCCGCCTCTCAACGTTTCATCCAATCATTTCCCAGCATTCCGTGGGAACTTATTCCAGCAAATTTTCAAAATAGTGAAAAAATTTAGAACGTTTTCACACCAAAAATAGTACTACGTAACCAGAATAAAATAAATGTTCATAAATTTATAAAAAGAAATGTTTTTCTTATTGTTCTTCAAACCAACTGCACGGCGGAATAATACGCTAAAAAATGTTTTTTCATTTTTAACCCTGGGTCATTTTAACCCCGGGTCATTTTAACCCCGGGTTAACCGAATCCTGGGTTTAATCGCTGCTCAGGGTTAACAATTAATCCTGGGTATTCATGAACTGATGTTTTCACACTGATTCCTAAACCATGGGATAACATTCTTATATGTGTATTTGAGGCGTCAGTGTCATTGATTGAATGAACGCAGACCTGATAGCATAAAACCTCAAGCGTTGCGCGTCCTCGCATTACCGTCTGTACTGTCGAGTTTAGAATTAAAGGGCTTTCTGGACCATAAAATAAGAATTTATTCACTCAAAGTGTTGCATTTTCTGCCTTGTTTACTCCCAAATGCTGAATTAATTGTTTATTATACAAGGCGTTACGTGACTGTCCAAAGAACGTAAATATGAGTACGCGATTGCTTGTCTGTTGCTAAAACGTTAGCTGTAATACGAACACTGCGTCTTATCACACTACTACTCACCACAATGCAGGTTTAACAGCAACAGCAGTGTTAACTAGAGACGCACCGATGGCCGATACCAATAACCGATAATTCTTTATATTTATGAAAATATAAAACAGAAAGTCACGTTGCACTTTACTGCATTTTCTTTTTTGAAGTTGTTGAATGTTGAACAGTGCGCATCTGAAGCGTCTCAGCTGAAGGAAATAATCAGCTTTATTTTCTTCAACCAAATTTTCTTATCGGCCGATACCGATGACATTAAAAATGAACATTTATCGGCCAATACCGATACTATCATGCATCCTTAGTTTTAACCCTAATCCGAGGCAGAGTTTCATAACCCCGGGTAAAAGCGGTGCTAACCCTACTTTTAAATTAGCGTCAAACTTGTACACTGTGAAAGGAAGTGACGTTAGAATGTTATGACAAGATCCTTAGCAACCGACAGCCAATCACGTGCCTCCTATTGACGTACTTTTGACAGTCACAGAAACACTGCAAGTAGTTTCAGCGTTTGATGAGGAAACATGTCAAATGCTGACAGAAAACACAAATATTTTAATGAAGTAATTTTTACTTGTATAGTCCAAAAAGCCCATTCACTATAAACTCGATATTACAGTTGGTAAGAGAGGACGCGCAGGGCTTCGGCGTTTATGTAAACAGGTCACGTGCTGCCTTCATCCAATCAATGACACTGACACCGCAAATATGCAAATAAGAACGTTAACCCACGATTCTGTTTGCCTAGGGTTTAGAATGACCCAGGTTTAACCATTTAAAGTGTAAAAAGCCCTACTGTTCATGTTTAAATCAGGGAAATCACCTCAAAAACTAAACTATAAGATAAATATTACGCTAATTAACAGTAATGCATGTCTATTGTCTTTTTAACAAAATAACCTCGATGTACTTCACCTGTGTTGTGATCCTCGTAGTGAATCCGATACACACGTCTCTGACAAAATGCCATTTTCTCAGCTTTTTGCTCAAAATGTTGCATTTTTATAACGTACCCACATTCAAATGGAGCTAATAATAACGTTTTTGTATGTTTTTTTTAAAGCAGTGGGTCTATTATTTTTTAAAGAGTTAAACTGCTCTCTCTGTAATAACTCTTTACTGTGATATTGCAGCAATACTTTCGACTTCAGTGGCAGAAAGAGTGTGTAATAATGCTTTCCATCTTTGCAGCCTCGTTCATTGAATTCACCCGTGTGTGTGTGTGTGTGTGTGTGTGTGTGTGACGCGAGATCCGGAGTTCGTTACCTTTTCTGGACAGACTGCGACCCGCTTTCTTCTTCTTCATGATAAGAGTTTGACGAGTTTCAGTTCTGCATGACCATAGACATGACCAAATGATCTTTTTCTTCCCCCTTCCTCTTCCTCGTCTTCTTCTTTTGAGAATTGGTGTTTTCCCAGCACACACACACACTCCGCCACCTACTGTTCCTCTTCCTCAAGCACGAGTTTCGCCAAATCTTCGGCATTTACACACACATCACACTGTAATTCTATCCGAAATAATTCAAAGTTGGGTTTCTTTTCACTTTGAGGAGAAAGAGTTTCCCAAAAATAATTAAGAAATGTATAGTACAAAATAATTGACATCGTTGTATTGAAATAACAGTTAAATGTTGTATTTATTTATTTATTTATTTTCGATGGAAAGATTAGAATCATTTTTCTAACAAGATTAACTTACAGAAAATGTGGGAACATGTTTCTGGTTCATTTGTACATAATTCGCATTTATTTGCCATTTATATTGATATTTGATAATATAGTTTGACAGGATATAGCATATTCTTTGAATTAAGTTAACTCTAATTTGATCAGTTTTAAAGTATTACAATCATTTCATACTTGTTACTGTATATGATATTGTCAAGACCATAACAGTGCTGTGTTCTTAATGTCTCACTGTATGTTTATTGGTCATGCACACGTGATTTTATGCCTTGCCAAGTTAAAAAGTATGACTTTATGGATGCCATGGAGTTATATTAAAGTACTAGAATTCATAATTATACTTATTAATAAGAATAGGCTACGCATTATCGAATAACGTATGAACAAATTCGGTAAAGAACATGTAAAGAAAGTTCTGCACACTTAATTTCGACTACTGCCATATATACAGTATATATATATATATATATATATATATATATATATATTATAATATAAAATAGCCATATATATATATATATATATAGGCTATGGCTATTTTTGCTTATAACTTCTGAACGGTTTTCCCAAAATTAATAAAACATGAAAACCCAATTATTTGGGCATTTAAAATTTTGTCGTAAAATACTAGGCTATTTTATGAATGCATCAACGTATTGTTATCGTTCATCGGCACCATGCCCTGAATATACTGATGTTTTCACACTGATAAGTTTAATAAAATTGTAATAAAATATACAAATACTAATAGGGTTTTGGGTAATTTAGCCTATTTTAATAAAACTGGTCGTTGTTTTCTCTTTTTTTTAAACTGGTCTTCTACTTCAACTGGTCTATTTGGTTGAAATTGCTGTCCATCTTTAATTTCTTTCTTCGTTTTCAAACTGATATGATCCAAAGCTAAATCTCACACACTTAAACATGTTCTGACCATACCATTCATTTGGTAACAGCGCCACCTAACGGTCAAACGTGATACGCACTTATTCTTAAATCGAGAAACCATAAACCTGGATTTAGATGTTTCAAATACAAAAGCCACAGAAATATGAACACTAACACATCAGCATAGACAGGGGACAGCTAGGATAGCTATCTCTTCAAGATAAAGTTGCCATCTACTGTTTCTTCAGCACTGCATAGGTTTTTAATGGCTTTCAAACAGTATTATTATTTTAACAGCATTATTATGACTGATTCACAGCATCGGCGATGATTATTCAGAATGCTTTAAGAATTGAGAGAAACTGAAATGATATTTAAAGATGAAGGAGAAGAATTAAAAGGGTTAACTCGCCCATAAATTAACATATATGTCAACATTTAATCACGTTCACGTCTAAACCTTCTCAAAATATACACAATTTCACAATATATGACTGTGCTTTAGGGTTTAGAACATAAATGTGAGTAAATAATTCAAAAACTTGTCATTTTTTGCATAAAGCAAATATCTATGGAAGCTTGTTTCCGCCACTGAATAAAAAAATAAAATAAATAATTGCGACTTTTTATCTCACAATTCTGACTTTTTTTCTCACAATTGCGAGATAAAAAGTCAGAATTGCGTGATATAAAGTCAGAATTGCGAGTTATAAAGTCAGAATTGTGAGATTTAAACTCAGAATTGGGGGAAAAAAGTTAGAATTTCTTCCCCTTAGAATTGCGGCCTAATAAGTCGCGAGTTATAAAGTCAGAATTTGATCTCACAATTCTGAGAAAAGTTGTCCCCTTAGAATTCGACCTAATAAGTCGCAATTGCGAATTATCTGTTCTAGAAAGTCAGAATTTCGACATGTAAACTTGCAATTGTGAGAAAAAAAGTCACACTTCTGTCTTTTTTTCTCAGAATTGCGACTTTATATCACACAATTCTGACTTTATATCACACATTCTGACTTTATATCACGCAATTCTGACTTTATATCTCGCAATTCTGACTTTATAACACACAATTCTGACTTTATAACTCGCAATTGCGACTTTATATCACGCAATTCTGAGAAATAAAGTCAGAATTGTAAGATAAAAAGTCACAATTCTTTATTATATTTTTTATTCAATGGCGGAAACAAGCTTCCATAAATATCTCATTTCTTTGCGTGACGATTGGGCGAATGCGAGTTCGCTCCGAAGCTTCTCACACTTCAGGGATTGAATGATCCATTAGTGACTTTACGATACTGCTGGACATCCTGCGGGAGAAAGAGAAACAACAGTAAGAACACACTCGTCGTGACACTAACGCGTAGACCTCAGATCGTCCCGTACCGTTTCATCATGTGTTCGAAGATCACCACCGGCATGACGGTTACCGTGACAACGCCTCCGCTGGAGTTAAGGATGTCCATGATTTGGGAGTCCTAATAAAAATTCAGATTAAAAGTTACACGTGGTCGGAGAAGAGAGAAGCCAGCGGATGTGAAGCGCGCGTCACCTTGAGTCCGATGACGTTCTGGCCGTTGATCTCGCAGATCTGGTGGTCCGTCAACAGGCCGTTGCGCGCCGCAGAACTGTCCTGGACGATGGAGCTGATGCGACCCTTCTTAAAGATGAAGCCCAGCTGGCCGTTCAGGTCCTTGTGGAGAGTAACGCTGCGCTCCAGTGGCCTGCAGACAGGGCTCGCTTTATCAGCTCACTACCAACACGCGCATTACATTACTAAAAGAAAGATAGCTAGACCATTAACCGACAAACACATGAACTACACGGAAACGATTCTGAAAAGAAAACGCAAATGTGGCGTTGCGTCATCACTTTTTATTTTGCGTTTAGACGAGCGTTTTGTGCGCGCAAAAGTGTGTGAAATCAGAGAATGTCTAATTGAAGAGAATCGGCACTGGCTGGTTACTTCCGGGTTCTGGACTGGCTGCAGTAACGCGTCTCTGTCCATGCGGGGGCGCTCGCGGTCGAGTGCAGAATGAATGGGAGTCAATGGGGTTTAACCCACTTTTCTCAGGATGTAATTTTTCGTCAAGTAATTTGAAAGTTGCATTCAAAAGGGAGGGCTAAGAAAATACACTCAGCTGAAAACTGCATTTTTAAGTTCACTTATCTGTTTTAAAAATGTGATGACGTCACACAATAGCAGAATGCTAGCGTGTTCTGGCCAACAACAGCCTAACCTGTAAGACATCGAAAGGACAAAAGTACTCGTTCATTTGACTTTTGGCCTATAATCTATATTGAACTTGCGGAATCAACAACAAAATCTGTGTAAATTTCACGACAAACAGGTGAAAGAGACACATTTAGCTGTTTAGCCCCATAGACTCCCATTCATTCTGCTCTCGCCCGCGATCACCTCCAGTGGAATTATAATGGAACTGCAACCAGGATGATCCACAACGGGGCTAATAGGAAGTGCCAAGGCTCTCCGTTAGACGCGCTCTGGTGAAATTTAAAGTAGTATGCACTTCAGGCGGCTAGGAGTGCATACTACAACAACACTAACTCCGCGCGCCTGCGTACAACCTTCACTGTCGAGCAGACTTTTGCGTTTTTACCGTTTACACGGGAACGCGGCGGTGGAGCGTTTTTAAGATTTCCACTCTGGAGGGTGGTTTCACTTTTTTGCGTTTTAAGCCTCAAAATCGCCGTCGCCGTGTAAACGAAAGGCACATCCGATAAAATATTTTTACGTTTTCACCCGCGAGCGTTCTCGTGTAAACAGGGCCTTAATACTCAGGGAGACACGGTAAATTAATGAAACACAGCCGATAACAATGAACCAACAATGACTGTAACCATGGTAACTAAAGAATGGCGGGAAATTCAAACAAAAGAACACATGTGACTGATGACAAACGGAAAGTCTAAACATAACAGAACCGTGACAATAACGCATTACTTTCTATGAAAAGTAGCGCAAATAGCTACTTTTTTCGGGAGTAACAAAATATTGTAACAGATTAGGGGAGCGCGGGGCACAATGTTAAATGTAACACGGACCGTTTACATAGTTCGTCAGCATCAAGCCGGCCGTCTTTCAGCTATTTTTCTCTCGCTGCCAGAAGACGGTCTCACGCGAATTTGCAGAAAGTTTTGATAATATTTCGTGAAGATACTGGACAAAGAGTGTTTTGACACCATGAAAGTCTTCCGAGTTGGGTGTACGTTTCCAAATCTAACTTTATATTGCCTTAATCACTGTGTTGTTGGCTCAAACATAGCACCGTTTTAAAACACGTCAGCAATTCCTAGCGACTGTTAGCTAGGCTTAAAATATGGTTAGTGGTAACACAGTGTACAATGATAATCAAATGAAAACGAAGCCACACAACTTTTCAGGTTTGAGTGTACATTTAACTTTGTTGGACTTTCCCAATGTTGGAATTTAAAATGTTTAAAATTTATTGTACTATGAATGATAACTTGTTTATTTATTAAAAATATGGGCTGTTATTAATGCAATAAACCCTTTAAATTTTTATTTTAAGCTCAATTACTGTTATTATTATTAATAATAGTAATAATTGTACATGCAGCTGCCACACACAAATCTAATTTAATTGCAATTACAATATTTATAATTTTATTTATTATTGCAGAACTAAGCAGCTCTTTTCTACGTCTCTATCCATGATATTGATCCATAACAGAAGGATGATTGGATGAGGGATGGATGTGTGGATATGTCTATACAGATGCACAACAATATAAAACTATTCAAATAAAATAGTACTGAATTATGTGTTACAATTAATTAAGTTGTAACATTTGCACTTCTGTCACTTTCAGTCCAACTGTACTAAAATGGTAGGTCCTAGAAAAAAACTTTAAGTGGTCATTTGTAGCGGAGATGTGTATGTTGCTTGTGCAAAAAAAAGTATTAATCTAACCTAATTATTTTTTAATTAACTGAGCCAAAACCAAAATGCATTTTAAAAGTAACTTTCTGTTGGTGCTTTCAGCAAAAGAACATTAGAGGGCGCTGAAACCTCAACTGATCCATTCTTACAAACAAATTAAGATTTTATTTACTCCCCTTTCCCTGAAGATTGCTACTTGGGTTTATATTTCTATGACACGCCGTGTGACGGATAACGATGTTTCGCACAGCTGGATATCGCTAACTCCCTGCTTCTGTTCTCCTCATGAATTATTCAGTCAGCACAACCTGATCCTCATTAATAAAACAGCATTGAGCATTTGAAACCTGCAGATATGCTCTACGCATGGTGTGTGTGTGTGTGTGTGTGTACCTGTCCCGCACAGCCAGACTGATCCTCTCAGGGTTGGCGTTCTTCAGCACTTTATGTGCATTATCGCTGCTCCAGCCAGCGCAGGATTGGCCATTGATCTGCAGAATCTGATCACCGAAGCGAAGCCCTGCCAACGCTGCCGCAGTGTTCGCCTGCACCAACTGCACAAACACACCCTGAACACACACACACACACACACATCAGAGATTCCCCTACACTTTAAGAGCGCTAACACTTTACAGTAAGGTTCATTAGCTAACTACCTTAGTTAGACCGTTCGAAAGCAAACGACTAGTGTAACCTCGGTTCCCTGAGATAACGGATCGAGTGTTGCGTAGTTCATCGCTTCAGTCATTTAAAGCTGAATCCTAGGGGGAAACGAGCTGCTTTTATAGACCCTTTTTCAGGTAAACACGGTGACGTTTTTTTGTGGGCGGAGCTTCGGTGGAGGCAGAACGATTCACTAACGCTAGTTAGCTAGGATTGTTAGCTTGTTTTTTAACAATGACTGGAGAAAATCCGATATTATCTTAATGTGTAAGTAAGGTCACTCACTGTCCAGGACCGCGATTGTTATTTACAAAAGTTATTTTTAACGGACGGATCCAGATTGGCCGACCCGTCGCCGCCTACACGCGATCTGACAGGATTAACGTACGTTACCTCGGGTGAGTGGCCTGACTTCTACACCTACCTTATAGAGAAACCGATCGTAAAGAGAAACTGAGGCATATAAATCTTTAGATGCCTATAAGGTCCTGTAGAAGACTTGTGTGTACGATCCACAGTTCTGCCGAGCCAGCGCCGAGACCACGACATTACAGTGCGATTTTAATCATGTGAATATTTTCTAGAAATAAAAGTTCCAGATACAACATATTCATTTTTCATCAATTCTTGCACCAAACAACACAACAAGATGACATTTAATAATAGAAACAATTATTAAAGCTCGTTATTATGTAGCCGAATCTGTGCTGGTTTGTATCGGCCGCCTCCAGTTTTTTCACTTTGTGTCGCCTCCAGCTAGTGCCGTGACGTAACTGTGACGTCGCCGCAAAAGGATCTATTGGCAGATGCCCCGCCCCTTCTGCGCTCTGATCGGCAGGCTGTGCCCTGATTGGCTCGCGCAGTCTTGCTGTTTCGCCATAGGTTCATGAGCAGCCAAATTATTATGCGATATCACAAAAGGAACATAGCTAATGAACACTTGAAAAATGACATGATTAATGATTAAGTTTGATGAATTATATTAATTCAAATGTAAGAGTAAAAACAATACATTATCTACGGCTTTGAGGCGGAGGCCGATCTTCCCGTCCATGTCTTTGCACAGAACAACCTCCCGAACGCCCTGCCGAATCTCCGCCCTCTTCACGCCCAGGTCACTTCCTGTTACAGGAGCCGCCCTCCAGATCGCCGTGTCACTTCCTGTTACAGGAGCTGGCGTCCAGCTCGATCCACCGAGAGCCTAAAAAAGGCGTTGGGTTAGGGTTAGGCATTTGTGTGGTAACATCTATCGCCACTAGAGGGCGTCTTTTACATGCAATCACATCATCACCGCATGACACAAGCTGATTGGCCTCTGCTGATCCGGCAGCCAATGAGATCGCTCGAGCTCCTCCCCCTCCCCAGATCTGCTTCAGTGTGTGTGTATTCATGCAGATCTTACATGTTCAGAGTGTCTGAATAGATTGAACTGGTTTTAAAGTGAATATAAACAAGCGGACCACATTAAGGCCTTATTTGCACTGCAGGACTTGATTTGTTGACTATCTTTTAGAAGATGTCATCTTCTATTTAAAAGTGACCCACATATAAGAAAACAACCCAAGGTAGATGTACTGACCCGAAGCTCAGACTGAAATAAGTACACACACACACACACACACACACACTCACCGCACTGGTCCGGTCAGTGACTGAAGAGGAAAGAGTTTGTAAAGCGTTTGCATTGAGATTTAGACCCATGAACTCATTCAGATCCGGGTATAAACTTCCAGAAGCTCCTGAAGACAGAAAACAGAAATACGGGAGGAACATCTGATGATTTAATCAGTCTAATACTGAAACTGCAAACAGGACCAGATCGAAAATCCCAGGCGAGTCTAATTTTACCAGTGCGATATTTTAGAGCAGTCTAATTTTCATCATTTTATTTACTTTTAATAACAATAACTCACTGAAGCTCAGCTTTAAGCCTCATGTAATCATAAAGTATTATATATGCAATATTCTTCATATATACAGTATTCTCACCGTTCTCTTCAGCTTTCGGCTCATTCTGGGTTTGGGAAGGCTCAGGAAGAGCCAGAGCTTTTGATGGGCTCGCGTACGGGCTGTGGGCCTACGGGAAAAACATATTCTAGAAATTATATTATATTAAAAGGTTTTTATAAATTAACATATACATACATGTGTGACCAACCTGCAGGAATTTATCCACCTTCATGTCTTCTAGAGATGGATACAGTGACATGGTTATTATCCCGTTTCCAGATCTATTCCCTAAAGAAATGCTGAGAGACAAAACATGTAATAATAAACTAGCAAAATAAATTAAACACAAAAATAATAATAATAATAATCCGCTGTTGTGTTTGATATATATATTTATTTCAACGTTTCCGCATTACGAGCTTACGTCACACTTGTCGATGTCAAACACAACAGTAATAAAGATATTAGATGACAAACAGGTCGTTTGTTTCTTGAATGTGCAGGTCGAGTTGGAGAGTTCGATCATTTAGCGCTTTTATAGTGATAGTCAATAACGATACATTATAGCTATGAATGTGACACATTACTGTTAGCGCGTTCGCGAGGATGATGATGATGATGATGCGCGTTCACTCACCTTGACACTGCAGAAGAATCATTCGCTCGCGAGTCCAGTGAATTTACAGTGCAGTGAATGTCTGACAGCTGATCTAGTTCTCGGAGGTTATGGATGTGATGATGTCCGTGTGTGTGTGTGTGTGTGTGTGTGTGTGTGACTCCTGGATGAGGGAAATATATCCTCCTCGTCTCGAGCGCATGTCATCACCACGCGAGCGCCCTCGTGCGGCTGCGCAGAACTCTCACTGAGTGTGTGTGTGTGTGTGTGTGAGGAGGATTATTTACTGTTTGTCTGTTTTGTATTTCGTGTATTTTGCTAGTTGTGATTTTAGACATCCTTGATCTGTTGATTCTGATGGAAAAAATATAATAATAATGTTCTAAGAATGTATTTTTCTAATATACTACGTAAAATGAATGCATGATGCAAAGAAACATGACACACACACACACACACACAACTTAAAAACAAAGTGCACAGACACACACATGTACAAACAGTGTAGTTAAATTTATTAATCCTCCTATAAACAGTAATATTGTAACTTTTTCTTTTGTGATTTTTTCAGAATTCTGTGAGATATTGTGAAATATAGGAACATTGACTGTGTTCCTAATGTGGGACAGTTTTCTCCCTAATGTAGGACAGTTTTCTCCCTAATGTGGGACAGTTTTCTCCCTAATGTGGGACAGTTTTCTCCCTAATGTGGGACAGTTTTCTCCCTAATGTGGGACAGTTTTCTCCCTAATGTGGGACAGTTTTCTCCCTAATGTGGGACAGTTGTGTTCCAACAGTTGTGTTCTTAATGTGGGACAGTTTTCTCCCTAATGTGGGACAGTTGTGTTCCTAATGTGGGACAGTTTTGTCCCTAATGTGGGACAGTTTTCTCCTAATGTGGTGACAGTTGTGTTCCAACAGTTGTGTTCCTAATGTGGGACATTTTTCTCCCTAATGTGGGACAGTTTTCTCCGTAATGTGGGACAGTTGTGTTCCAACAGTTGTGTTCCTAATGTGGGACAGTTTTCTCCCTAATGTGGGACAGTTGTGTTCCTAATGTGGGACATTTTTCTCCCTAATGTGGGACAGTTGTGTTCCAACAGTTGTGTTCCTAATTTGGGACAGTTTTCTCCCTAATGTGGGACAGTTTTCTCCTAATGTGGGACAGTTGTGTTCCAACAGTTGTGTTCCTAATATGGGACAGTTTTCTCCCTAATGTGGGACAGTTGTGTTCCTAATGTGAGACAGTTGTGTCCCTAATGTGGGACAGTTTTCTCCCTAATGTGGGAAAGTTGTGTTCCTAATGTGGGACATTTTTCTCCCTAATGTGGGACAGTTGTGTTCCTAATGTGAGACAGTTGTGTCCCTAATGTGGGACAGTTTTCTCCCTAATGTGGGACAGTTGTGTTCCTAATGTGGACAGTTGTGTCCCTAATGTGGGACAGTTTTCTCCCTAATGTGGGACAGTTTTCTTCCTAATGTGGGACAGTTGTGTTCCTAATGTGGGACAGTTTTCTCCCTAATGTGGGACAGTTGTGTCCCTAATGTGAGACAGTTGTGTTCTTAATGTGGGACAGTTTTCTCCCTAATGTGGGACAGTTTTGTTCCTAATGTGGGACAGTTGTGTCCCTAATGTGGGACAGTTTTCTCCCTAATGTGGGACAGTTGTGTTCCTAATGTGGACAGTTGTGTTCTAATGTGGGACATTTTTCTCCCTAATGTGGGACAGTTGTGTCCCTAATGTGAGACAGTTGTGTTCTTAATGTGGGACAGTTTTCTCCCTAATGTGAGACAGTTGTGTTCTTAATGTGGGACAGTTTTCTCCCTAATGTGGGACAGTTGTGTCCCTAATGTGAGACAGTTGTGTTCTTAATGTGGGACAGTTTTCTCCCTAATGTGGGACAGTTGTGTTCCTAATGTGAGACAGTTGTGTCCCTAATGTGGGACATTTTTCTCCCTAATGTGGGACAGTTGTGTCCCTAATGTGAGACAGTTGTGTTCTTAATGTGGGACAGTTTTCTCCCTAATGTGGGACAGTTGTGTTCCTAATGTGAGACAGTTGTGTTCTTAATGTGGGACAGTTTTCTCCCTAATGTGGGACAGTTGTGTTCCTAATGTGAGACATTTGTGTCCCTAATGTGGGACAGTTTTCTCCCTAATGTGGGACAGTTGTGTTCCTAATGTGAGACAGTTGTGTTCTTAATGTGGGACAGTTTTCTCCCTAATGTGGGACAGTTGTGTTCCTAATGTGAGACAGTTGTGTCCCTAATGTGGGACAGTTTTCTCCGTAATGTGGGACAGTTGTGTCCCTAAAGCCAGGATTCATCAGGCTCAGAGTGTGTAAGAATGATTGGGAGGAGCATGAAATTCTCCAGTATAATGTGTAAGTGTTTGGGATGTTCTGGAGGAGACTTTACAGAGAGCTGGAATCTTGTGTTGCCAATATAAGGTCTTTAACAAAAAATGATGCTCATCTTGATGGAAATAGCATCAAGAGGTGCATCAGTATTTGGTGTGTGTTCTCCTCCTGTATCGGAGCGGGACGTCCCGCGAGGGCGGCAGAACACCGAGACCGGCGCGCCGGGCGTCCGGATCCAGCGGGACACCAGCGTCACACAGATGGAGATCGTAACGCCACAGAGTCACGGCCAGGAACTGCTTGATCTCGTTAAGCGCGAAGAAGCGTCCCGGACACTCGCTGACACCGGAGCCGAACGGGATCAAGAAGTGCTTCAGTCGCCGCCCGTTCCTGAAGAAATGCGTCTTGCGTTGACCGTTCTCATCTAGGAAGCGTCCGAATCTGAACTCCTAGAAACAGAAGAACGTTGCATTTATGCATTTATTTACAACCGTCTAAGTTCTCAGTAGTGACCGGAGAAACGAAGCGTTTGTAACTTTAAACGATTTGAACCGAAACGAAACGCTGGCGACCCCTGCTGGTCAGAACAGTGGAAGTGCAGCGAATAACTCAAACCATGCATAAAAACCACATTTCCCAACATTACATAAATGGTCTAAAACCTCATTGATTAAGAGACTGTGTATTTGATAGAAGTTTGCACACATACTGTGGGGTCGGGGAAGATCTCGGGGTCCATGTGTATGAGCTGCGGGTAAAGAGCGACGTGATCTCCTCTCCGTATATCCGCTGTCTGACCCGAGTCCAGCTTCAGAGTGAAGTCTTCATTAGCGACGCGGATCATCATGGAGGCGCTGGACAGGCGAAGAGCTTCCTCGATTATACTCTCTAGAAAAAACAAACATTTATTTCACTCAGATATCCGTTTAATTGAAAAGAGCTACAAATATTCGGCTACCCCAGTTCCCGCGACAGCGGCTCGAGAGATCGGTAATCAGTTTCATTTTAGACACAGAACTTTTTTAGTCTTTTTTTGCACGGAAACCAAAATTCCATGACATTCCTGACCATGATGCACTGTAATCATGATGATTAGACGTGAACATTTCTTAGAAACCAGAGTAGAGTAAGAAATCACTGACCTAGGACAGTCATGGAGTCCAGCTGCTCTCGAGAAAGCTCGATTCGCTGGTCCTGGTTGGTTAATACCTGACCGGACAGAACGCTGTTGATCTCTGTGCGAGCAGCGGTGAGAGCGTCCGCAGATCTGAGGTTCAGAACACACACACGTCACACACACACACACACTGGCTTACGCTCCATTCGTGTTCACTATCATCAAACGGCCAATAGTGAGTCTGAGACATCTAGCGTTCTGATTTAAAGTGGTGAAAATACAGTGTTTAATGTTGTTTGTGTGTGTGTGTGGTGTTTTAATCACTTATAAAGTTGATAAGTGGACAGAATTGCTGAGTATTTCCTCCCACGCTGGTGTTTATGACGTCACAAACGACCTCGTAACCAATCAGATCAACGTGTGATCGCCAACCAGTGGATCTCTGAGTGAGTGGAGGCGGGGCTCATCTGCATATTCATAGAACCGCGCATACTAAATGAGGTGTCGAGTTACAATCAAGATATTTTAAGGCGTGACAAAAAAAAGCTGAGTGAGTGAGTGAGTGGAGGCGGGGCTCATTTGCATATTCATAGAACCACCGCGAATACTAAATGAGGCGAGGGTGTCGGGTTACAATCATTCGTTAAAACTTTCTGGTGTTGCTATCAGTGATGAGCTTGTAGTAAAACACATTTCATTGTCAGTATTAATGCTATAGAGTGTCGAAGTGATGACGTCACTTTGTAGGACAACTCGCGGCGCATGGGTTCGCTCGATCGAAAAGCAATGCATTTTCCCCATAGACTTTTGGAAAATCGCAAAAAATAAGATCTGTGTTTAATAAAGGGTTGTGACCCTCACACGTTTTGTCTAGCAAGATAATCTAATCCAAAATTTATACATTTTGAAGCCTATATAAAGTTTAAAAAACCACAAGCAGGTTATAACTGTGTGTTCTATGTCATAGATCAAAACGTGAAAATATTTAGAGGTTTGGTCACCACAGACCTTATTTCAGGCGATTAATCCCATAGGCGTTAGAGCGAGGGAACCGTAATGCTAAAATGCTAACTCACTTCCGCGTTTTGGCCTACAGAGTGACGTCGTAACTTCGCCACTCTATTACATATTTAACATGCATCGACTAACACAGGTGATTACCTGAGTGTGTAATACAGACTCCAGAAGGCCGCAGGAAGTGTATTAGCCTGCGACGCCCATAACATGCACACATGTGTCCGTGCTTTTCCAGTTTCGTCCAGAGGCATGCGATCAAAAGCCTCCATTCTGCGCTGAATCAGATCCGAGATGCATTTCCGTCGGTGAAGTTCATCATGCATGAGATCCTCGGCTAAAGCTTCTCTCGCTCTCCACACTCGCGGGATCAATCCGATGGGAACGCCGGCCGCCAGGAACGGGAACGCGTGATCGAACGCCAGAAACTCCCGCATGCCAGTTCTGCTGGCCTGGAGAAAGCCCGGGTCTCTCCCGAAGAGCGTGACGAACCCGGCCTCGAACATGATGCGGTTCGTGAAGCTCTGAAGACCTTCTTCCAGCCACTGGTGTTCAGATCCGTTCTCTCGGTCCAGAACCGACTGTGGATTACGCAACACGGACTCGTTCTCTCGGTCCAGAACCGACTGTAGGTTGCACATCATGGACTCGCCGAGCTCCTGTAGAGACGGGCCTTGAAGCGTCTGTCGAAACAGCCCGTGAACTTCCCTGTAACTCTCACTAAACTGCGGTTCGTTGAAGTCAGCGTGACCGAAGACCTTGTGTGTGTGTGTGTGTGTGTGAGAAAGAGAGAGAGAAACAAACAGGAAAATCAGGATCAAACCTATAGGTTTACATTGCATTTATTTATTTTATTTAAAGTGACGGAAGTGAGTTTCGTCAAAAGAAATATGTTATACGATTCTACGATTTCAACATCAGGGGGATTACAAATATATACATATTGTTTGTATACAACGGTAAGCATGAACAATACAGTAGGTTCTACACTACCTATCAAGTCAATCCCTGAATGTTCAATCACTTTCGAATCATTTTAAATAACCAGCAAATATTCACTAAGACGTAAAACACGGAAAATCTGCCATGATCAAGTGGATGGTGGAAAACAAACACTTTTACCATGAAAATGTCATGAAACTACCACTATAACCAGTAGATGGCTCCACTCATTAGCTCATTTCACTCACTTTTATAGTTTCATGAGTTCACGAGTTCACACTTACATACAATTAGAAGGATTAAAGCTTAAAGGGATACTCCACCGGGTTTTCATATTAAACTACGTTATTCCCTTAATTAAGACGAGCTGATGCATCGTCTCAGTGCGTGCACTCTATCGCTCTGTATTGCCGCAAAACTACGTTAGCGCTTAGCTTAGCCCAGTGCATTAAATATGGGCCCAAAAGAGAAGCGACCAAACACTTCCTCGTTTTCCCTATTTAAACACAGTTACTCGATTAGTGTAACTCGACCTAGGCTGGTGACACAAAATAAAACGTTGTGTTTTTCTAAGCGTTTAAAATTGATGACTATATTGTATGGCGGAATACCATAAAAAGTGCTTTAGAGCGCTTCAACTTGGCGCAATAATACCTTCACTCGTGAAAAGTCGTCTTACCGGCTCCCGCTTTGTCGCATGTCACGTTGGCTGCGTTGACGGAAATAAGAGGGAGGGGGAGAGCGAGGAAGCGGGAGCCGGTAAGAGGACTTTTCACGAGTCAGGTGGCGTGTTATCTCTACGCATTTTGAGCTATCCGCGTGTATGCGTGTATGTCTACGCCATTAACGTCCGCGTCATTCCGCGTTTCAGTACACGGAGTCAAATCTCCAGTGATAAATGCCATTAACCCCAGTGACGGTTAGGTTTAGGGACGGGGTTGAGGTAAGTCATATATTTATATAACGTTAAGTCAACGGCGTTCATAAACACGCTGAAAGGCGATTATGCGTCTTGATAGCACGGCAAAAATGGAAATACGAATTGGCGTGGCATGCAAACGCTACTTCATGAGATCAGTCTGTAAACTGGGAAGATAAAAGTAAAAGAAATGCTCTAAAACGAATTATAGATACTTCTGACATAAGGGACCGACACGAATAACACAGAGTTCAAAAACATTGATAGACCTGATATTTAGTAATAAACCAGAGAGAATGGTTAAAACATTCAATTTGGTTACCGGGCTATCGGATCATAATTTGACACTAGGAGTTAGGAAACGGTCAAAAACGCGTCCTAATTGTGGTGTAAATAAGCCTAGTCACCTCAGAATACCCAAGAGACAACAAAATGACTTTGAAAATGCAAGGAATAGCCTACTTTCTTACTCTGATGTCGACTCTGACTGTCAGATCTTTTTCTCCACAATTCAACGGACAATGAATAACTTCTTAAGGAGAACTAAACCCGACAACGGAAAACAAAAAGAGCTTCCACGGTTAAGTAGTGACATGCATAACCTGATGAAGGACGAGACTCGGACTCAATCAAAATTAGCAACTGACTAAAGACTAAAGTTTGTAGGACTACGAAATAAGGTTACAAAGGAGATTAGAAAAGCAAAAGCAAATTTTTATCTTAATGTTATTGATCAAGGAAAGGGAAATACCAAACTAATATGGGAGAATATAAAGAGACTGACATGGAAAACATCATAGTGGTCATAAACAGCACTTTGAAATCTATATAAATAATGGTATTACACAAGATGAGGCTCAAATAGTATCATACTTTGTATCATCACTGATACATAACCAATCTACCAATCCATTACCCATGGTGCCTGTAAATTACGATAAACCTGTATTTGAGATTCACGAAATATCCGAAGCTAAAGTGACAAGAATAATAAGTTCCCTAAAAACTTCCAAAGCTAAAGACGTGTATGGACTGGACACAACGTTCTTGAAAGAGTTTAATGAATGTCTGTCTAGTCCATTAACACATATTATTATTAATAGATCCATTAAAGGATTAGTTCACTTTTGAAAAAACTTTTGCTGATAATTTCCTCGCCCCCGTGTCATCCAAGATGTCCATGTCTTTCTTTCCTCAGTCGAAAAGAAATTTAGGTTTTTGATGAAAACATTCCAGGATTTTCTCCATATAATGGACTTCAATGGGAACCAAACAGTTCAAGGTCCAAAAGACAGTTTCAGTGCAAACTGTTCAAATGTCTTTAAACGATATCAGCCGATGAATAAGGGTCTTATCATGCGAAACGATCGCTTATTTCAAAACTTGTAACTTTTCTAAGGACAAATGCTAGCCTTGCTCTATTCTCTGAGGCGCGTTTGTAACGTCACGTAATACGTAATTACGTTCAAAAGGTCACGGGCGACGTAGCCGGAAGTACTGAATCAAAATCGTCCGACATCGTTGTTTTTCCTTTTAATTCCTTTTTTTGTAAACGGCGTTTGAGTTAGTTTGCACTATGCGTTCAACTTGTAAACACTGACTCCGTCGCCCGTGACCTTTTGAACGTAATTACGTATTACGTGACGTTGCAAATGCGCCTCACAGAATAGAGCAAGGCTAGCATTTGTCCTTAGAAAAGTTACATTTTTGGAATAAGTTTTGAAATAACCGATCGTTTCGCATGATAAGACCCTTATTCATCGTCTTAAAGACATTTGAAGCTGCATCTGAAACTGTTATTAACTGTCTTTTGGACCTTGAACCGTTTGGTTCCCATTGAAGTCCATTATATGGAGAAAAATCCTGGAATGTTTTCATCAAAAACCTTAATTTCTTTTCGACTGAGGAAAGAAAGACACGGACATCTTAGATGACACGGGGGCGAGTAAATTATCAGCAAAAGTTTTTTCAAAAGTGAACTACTCCTTTAATGAAGGAATTTATCCCAAAGCGTGGAAGACAGCTATAATAACACCGATCCAATTCAAAGGTGTGTAATTACAGACCAATTAGTACATTACCTATTGTGTCAAAGGTAATTGAGAGATATGTAGAGATATGCCACCTTAGTAACAGCTCATTTACACTGCGTCCTATGCAGTTTGGTTTTAGATCGAATCATTCAACGGAAACTGCAAACTGCTTTTTTGTGGAGAATGTGAAATCAAAGTTAGTTGTTGGGGCTATATTCCTAGACGTTTGACACTGTGGACCATGGTGTCCTATTAAAAAAACTGTCAATGTTTAATGTCCTAATGTAATAAAATGGATGCAGTCTAATCTGGAACACAGAGAACAAAGGGTTAGGGTTAACGATGAGGTGTCGTCGGCCATTGATTGTAACATTGGTGTACCTCAGGGATCAATTTTGGGGCCGTTGTTGTTTAGCCTGTACATAAATGATCTCCCGAATGTATGCACCGAGTCTGAGATACAAATGTATGCAGATTTATGTACAGATTAAATTAAAATCATGGTTAAAGGACAATCAAGTGTGTACCCATATTCTGTAGTTTTTAAATCATCTTAATCATGTTTGATTTGTTGTTGAATGTATTTTATGAGCTTCTATGTAATTTGTTTCAATGTATGTATAAGTTTTGTTGATAGTCTGAATGTGTTTTATTACATCTGCCCAGTTGAAAATTAGCCAAGATGGCTAAACTGGCACATTTACGTAAGCGTTTATTAATGATTAAATTGTATTTTTATTTATTTTTTTTGTATTTATTTATTTATTTCTTCGGTCAGTCATTTAGAAATCATGTCATAAATCATGTAACACAAAAGAGAGAAAGAGAAAAAAATAAATAAAATAAAAATAAAATAAAAAATAAATAAAATAAAACCAAAAATCGGGGTGGCGATGGCGCAGTGGGTAAGACACATGCCTTTGGTGTGAGAGACCCGGGTGTGTCCAGAGACCAATGTGTCCTTGAGCAAGACACTTGACCCCTAGCTGGTCCAGAGGCGTGCGACCTCTGACATGTATAGCAATTGTAAGTCGCTTTGGATAAAAGCGTCAGCTAAATGAATATATGTAAATGTAAGTAAGTCGACGAAACCAAAAAAGTTTCGTAACTTCATCTACATTTTTAACATTTTGGCAACTGGTAAATACATTCACTAAGTTTCCTCAAGCGTCAAAGTATTAAACGTGTTACAACGAGCCTCGCGTTAGTTCGTGTCCCGCTCACCCCTACTTTATTTAAATGAAATGCATAGTATTCTCTCGCTTTCGCTCAGAGGTCAGAGGTCACTGTGGTGCCAGTGTTCATACGGCTCATTAGCTCAGCGTTACGTGACTAGTTTAGACATGCAATCTTCAACAAACTTGTCTAAACTGCAGCTCAGACAGAAGGAATGTAGCCTAGTTATCGTTTTATACCTGCACAAAAGAAAATTGCTCTGTGTGTGTGTGTGTGTGTGTCCAGTTCAAGCTTCCCTTGAGAAAAAGAAGTGCTCAGTTGTGTTGAATGTTACTTGCAGCGTATTCAAATCTAAAAAGTAGATTTTCCAAAACCTGTACTTGCAGACAGTATTTTAACAACATAAAAAGCCGCTTAAGTGAGTGAGTGGAGGCGGGGCTTATTTGCATATTCATTGAACCATGCATACTAAATGAGGGAAGGGGGTCGAGTTACATTCAAGATATTTTAAGGCATGGACAATTATTTTCAAGGAAAAAAATTTTTAAATATGTCATTATTGGTGATCAAAGATGAGTTTTAAGGGATCGACTACAGGGGACTTTAAGTGCACTTATTTAGATGTGTTGACTAGCACACTAACGTGGGCATCTTGTGATGAGCTCTGACAGACGTGGTGTAATCGATCTCACGCATGAAGCGTTTCCCAGAGTGCAATGCTTCGAGAGCCGGGTTATGTCTGTAACCCAATGCTTTCTTATCAGGAGAACAGTAATCAGTAACTTGATGCCCTTTATCCCATTTAAAAGGAGAATTCCCTGGTGTGTTTTCCAACCTTTCCACAGTTGAATGACTTGTGTTGGAATACGAACGTAAATTAAGATAATCCATAGACGTCTACATGCTAAGATGCATTTTTGTGTTCATGTTAGAAAGCAGAATCACAAATTTCTTTAAAGTCCCCCTGTGGTGTAAATCCAGTGTTTAATGTTGTTTATGTGTGTGTGTGGTGTGTTTAATCCGCTTTAACACACACCGTGTGTAAGTTGATAAGTGGACAGCATTGCTGAGTATTTCCTCCTTAAAACTGCAGTGAACCAAAAACACGCTTTGAAATCACTGGTGTTTCATAAACGACCTCGTAACCAATCAGATCAATGAGTGAGTGAGTAGAGGCGGGGCTAATTTGCATATTCATAGAACCGAGAATAATAAATGAGGCAATAGTGTCGAGTTACATTTAAGATATTTTAAGGCATGAAGAATTTTTTTCAAGGATAAAAACGTTTTCAAATATATATAATAATAATATATGAAGAGTTCAGATGCAAAAGCCTCTAAATGCCATTTGAAATTTTCTTCTTTAATGATGATTTATATCAAACTTGTATATTTAAGTTCAATAATTTCACTTAAATGGCGATGATAATTACCTATTAATTGTTATTTAAGTGAAATTACTGAACTTAAATATACAAGTTTGATAAAAATCATCATTCAAGAAGAAAATTTCAAATGGCATTTAGAGGCTTTTGCAACTGAACTCTTCATACAATTTTGAGATTTAAGGGATACAATTACTGGGGGGCTTTAATATTTCTGTTGTTAAAGGGAACAAAAGGAGATTTTTGCATTTTTGTCTCCTAAAGCGAGAAATAAAAAAAAAAAACATAGATTACAAATAAACATGCAAATGGAGTCCAGGCTTGCTTGATCACTTACCCGGTGAGAAAATCCAAGAGAAAACTTCTTAAAGTCCAGATTTCTGCTTTGCCGTACCACAGTGGAAAAAGAGAAAGGGTCCGTGACAAAAGTGAAGTATTTCCCAGCAATGGCACACGTGAAAACATCCCCATATTTCTTCTGCGTCTCTCTTAAGAAGTCTAAAGGGTTTGCGGCGTAATCCAGAGTGACTCCGATGATCGGGATCCATCCAGAGACCAGCGGAGGCTCCCCGGGGCGCCTGCAGTCACACACACACACAATTTATAAATTTACGTGTATAAATTTTCGTATGCGTTTTTTTGTATTCGTGATTCGGTGGCTCTGAATTGTCAAAACTCCATTCATACTGCGTGCTACGGATGCGAAAAACGCAAAAAATCAAACCCGATCCGATTTTTCCTATGACGGAAGAAAGTTTCGGAGGCGGTGTGCGAGCGTGATTGACAACGAGAGGTCAAATTTATTTTTTAATGTGCGAAAATTTCGGACGTGAACTTCAAACTCGGTGTGCAAGGATCGTAACTCAACGTTCACACAGAACGCTATTTTTAATTTTTTTATTCGACAACTACTTTTCCATTGTTTTTCAATGTAAACGCGCTAGACTAACGTGTGTTTGACCGTTATAAACGGAAATGTGCAGCGAGGCGGATCTGCTATCTGCAATCCACCTATCATTCAAGTGGCCACGCCCTTAATTATGCAGAACTTTAAGGCTTAATTTAAACTGATTATAAAAGTTATAAAAATATTCACCCCCTCACAGTCGTCATGAAGGGAAACATTAGCGATATAGACCAAAACCACTTTTTGGACCAGATTGTAAACATGTTTTATTCTGCTGTAAAATTTGTCATTTTAACATGTGGGTCTATGGGAGTGAGTCTCTTCTGCAGCGCCTCTAGTGGCCAGTGGAGGAACTGCAGGTTAACTCATTCAGTGTTGGATTCAAGAGACGCGCTAAAAACACGCTCAAGATAATATAAGTTTATTTAACTTTATAACTTTAATAAAAAAAATTTTTTTTTTTAAACGTGTTTCTAGAAGTTGTGCTTTCTGATCTTCATCTCGCGTTTATAATAGGAAAGAGTTTTCTGTGTGAACTTGCTTTCTAAAGTAGCTAAATGTGTTAACAAAATACATTTTAACGGCTCTGGCTATATGGAGACAGCACATCACATATCATATTTATTATGTTTCTGAATAAGCCCTCTATAATAGAGTCTATATCGTTAAAATGATCAATATTTTTCTGAAACACCATATATGCGTCTTTTTGTGCCCGTGTCCTTCAAAAACTATGACTTTTGAAATAATACCTGAAATGTCTACTTCCGTGATTGTAATATCTCAAAACAACAGTAACCTAATCCATATTTCAAATTATTTATTGAAAAGTGTTGAAAATGTTTTAAGTTAGACATGTTTATTTCACTGCCAGAAGTGAATCCATCACAATAAAAAAAAAAATCATCATAATTAAATTATTAAATTAGTTAAACTAAAAAAAAAAATAACGAAGCTATTTAGAGCAGGATCTGATATTTTTATTAATACACAGCCTACATTGTGATCCGGCTGTTGTTTTTGTTCCATATTTGCATTAATATTCTATATTTTGTAGGCTATAATCGCGTCTGTTAATGTGACATCTAATATAAATCTGCAGTGACATTACGAGCAGATGTAACACACTTCTCACATGTGTATATGTCACATTAAGTTATGAAAAACTGCAATAAGTCCAGAAAGAGTGAAAGTGAATGAACTTTCTCTGATCTCACCTTCTCCGCGCGTGTCCGCAGATCCACACGATCACGAGCGCCAGGAGAACCGCAGAAACTGCGACGAAAAACTGAGACATTTCGCTTTAACTCTCTCTCTCTACCTCTCTCTACCTCTAACTCTAACTCTCTGCGATTTGATCTTTTCTCTGAACTACACTTTATTAGCGCGTTCCCGGACCTCGCCTTTTAGGCGCGCCCCCGCAGCTCGCTTGACGCAACACACACACACACACACACACACAAACACACACGCCTTCAATTATCCAAAGGGGAATTTTTCCTGAGTTTGATTCTTCCTCACTGATGCATACTATAGTGTTTATAAGGATTTAAGTCTGTATAGCGCTTTATAGAGTGTGTTTACAGTGATTTGGTTTGTAATAATAAAACAACAGAGGTAAAATGTTCAAAATAAATGAGACACGAAAGACAACTAAACACCTGAGTGAACTTGAGAACTGACTTCTGTAAGATCTATAAATGTTACTTCAGTTTCAAAACACTTCTCATAAAGAAATGCGGATTGGATAAAGCATAACTCTAAGTATAACTCTATAAGTATAACTCTATAACTCTAAGTATAACTCTATAAGTATAACTCTATAACTCTAAGTATAACTCTATAAGTATAACTCTATAACTCTATAACCGAGTAACGTGATTGAGAAAGGTTTAGTGGTTTAGACATTTCCTATCACAAACTGACAGTGTTATTGACTAACAAACACGCGGAAACATGAAGAGTTCAGATGCAAAAGCCTCTAAATGCCATTTGAAATTTTCTTCTTTAATGATGATTTTTATCAAACTTGTATATTTAAGTTCAGTATTTTCACTTAAATAACAATTAATAGGTAATTATCATTGCCATTTTAGTGAAATTAGTTAACTTAAATATACAAGTTTGATAAAAATCATCATTAAAGAAGAAAATTTCAAATGGCATTTAGAGGCTTTTGCATCTGAACTCTTCACATCAAACCCAAAGCATTCACAGCTGTATATTACATTCTCATTTTAATTAGTCTACCGTATATTACAGACTTTGCTGATCTGTGTTTTCCTGTTCTAATGAAACACACACACACACACACACACACACACACACACTGCGTGTTTAACAGCAGATCTCTCCAGTATTGTGCATCTCCTCGAGTCTCAGGACAGTGTAAGTCCCAGTCATTATGAAATATGTTTCTCATGTTCATAACTGTATGTGTGTGTGTGTGTGTGTGTGTTTCTAACATCCTCCAGTTTAGTTTGATCACTAATTTTATTTTGGCCAATTGGAAAATGCAGATCAGTAGACAAAAGAACATCGAGGTACGAGAGGTTATTAAATGCAGTCATTAGTCACACACACACACACACACACACACACACACACACACACACACACACACACAAGCAAAGCTGTAATCTGAGTAAGAGCCGTTAGTGGCAGGATTTACACATTTCCTGAGAACTATTACAGTTTTCAGTTTAAACCGACACTAACAGTCTAACTAGGGAACATCCCATAATATATATATATATAGATAGATAGATAGATAGATAGATAGATAGATAGATAGATAGATAGATAGATAGATAGATAGATAGATAGATAGATAGATAGATAGATAGATAGATAGATAGATAGACATGTACAAGCCTCATATGCAAACATATTTGTGCATTTGTGTCATTATTCAGTCATACTCCTAAAAAGTGGCAAAACAACTCGAGTGTAACTTCTTTTTTTTTTACTTTTAATTAAATGAATGCGGTAACACTTTACAATAAGGTTAATTAGTTATTAATGTATTAATTAACATGAACTAACAACGAGCTATACATTTGTTACAGTATTTATTAATCTTAGTTAATGTTATAGTTAATAAAACACCGCTGTTCATTGTTAGTTCATGTGATTCACAGCGCATTAATTAATGTGAAATAGATTTTAGTAAATGTTGAAATTAAAACTGCTGTATAAGTGCAGTTCATTAATAGTTAATGCTAACTAAAGTAGTTAAGTTAATAATACTAACTGTAAAGTAAAGTGTTACTGGTGGTAATGCTACATTTTACTTCAATAAATATTTAGTATTTGATACTAAAGAATATTAACCGGTAAATTATGCACCCAATTGTTTCTATAAAAAAAAAATGTATGATTGAAACAGAGGTGATCCTGACCTCCCTGGGGCCCTCTTGACCCCTGTTTCATTTCGTGCACGCGCATATGAACGCATGTTAACGCGCGACTCGGTTACCTTTCCCGCGCTTTATAAATAAACACGCTGCCCTTTGTATTATCAAACAAACGTGCTATTTATTCGCCATATGCGACACACTTTAAATCTCTTGGGTAGGACTGGGGTGTGGAGTGCGTGCATATTACACGCCAAAAAGTGCGTACCGATCATATGCACGCAAAAAATATTTTTGGCGTCTAAATGTCACGAGAAATTCGTAGTATAAATGCGCGCTTTCATGAGATCGGAGACTGACTGTTCAGTGCTGACCTCAAACTTGGAGAGAACACGAGTTCCCGGTGTTTCCCATCAGTCTCCCAGAAGGATGGTTCCGTTTAATTATCTTTTTTTTATTTATTTATTTTTTATTAATGCCACGAACGGAACAATACAATGAGACATAATCATTCAAAGTGAAACAAAAAACAAAGTAAATAAAATAAAAAAGAACAGTGCCACAGGACAAGAAAAATATACAAACAGAAAAGGGGTGCTACATTATATATCATACCTGCTTACAATGCCTTTTTACTTGTGCAGCAGTTACACAAAAGAGAACAATAAAGCTTAAAATCATTTTTAAAGCAAGAAAAATTAGGTTTGGAGTCAGGCCATTTCATTTTATGATTGTGAAACTTCCCCATCAGTATTAACAATTGTTTAAAGCCTTATCTTTCTCGATCTGGTTCCGTTTAATTATCTCGTCGATGTTGTGCGCTTTGATTGACGCGCTCGGACACGAGGGGGCGGGGCTTGAGTGATTCGCGCGGTGTGTAGATCTGGATTGCATGTTTTACACTCTTCAATTGGCCTCGCCTCTTGCTTTTAGAGACAGAAACGGAAACTGAGGTACTGAAGCTCATACTCTTCTGGCCAAAGGGTTTTAATCTCATACAAATCAATCATTTTGAGGACTATTTCCCCTGTTCGGCATTGAGTTCACATCGAGGAGTGTTTCACACACACACATATTAGTCTTCATCTTCAGTCCCTGATCTCGTGGAAACGCGTCTCTACATCAGCGTTGTGTTTATCGTGCAATTTATACGCAAAAAATGATTTTTTTACGTTCATATGATACGCACTTTATTGCAAATCAAACTTTGATCTCTGTTTGCCAGCTAGAGCTGAAACACCCGGGGTTGTAAATGCTGACGCTGTAGCGCCCCCTGTGTCTGTTTTCTGACTTACAGCCGGAAACAAAAATCGAGAACAATTATTACGTTTTGCGCAGTTATTAAATGATCCTTCGTATTACATTATGAGTTGCTCCAGGGACAGAATTGTGAGATATAAAGTTGGAATTGCAGGGGGAACAGTCAGACATGTGAGATTTCTTTGTTTGTTTAATTTTTATTTATTTTATTCTGGGACGGAAACAAGCTTCATTTTCATGACACGCACACGCGCACACATACACACACATCCGAGCGTTCAAAGGCAATAAATAGATTTAAATACATAGTGTGTGACGTCACAATGGGCGGAGTCACTTTGATCAAACTCCTCATATAAAATATAGGCTATTTTAAAAAATGAAATGTCGCATATGTAAAAATGATACAAGAAACGAAACGAGGCTGCAGACCTGACAATATATGGATCTAAAACTATATTCATTCCTATATTAATAACAAATGACCTCCGTCTGAAAGTACCCGTGTTCATTATTAAGTTTAGATTAGATTGTGATGGTTTTAACCCTGTGAAAAAATATTTTTTTATTCAAATAATTATTTGGAAACGTTTTTAAATAAAGTTTTGAATCGTCATTCAAGTCTATTGTGCTCGCCAAGGCTACATTTATTTGATTAAAAATACAACAACAACATAATATTAATAGTGTTAAATATTATGGCAATTTAAAAGAACTGTTTTCTATGTGAATGTGTAGTTTAATCCTGTGATTAAAGCATCATTACTCCAGTCTTCATTTATTTCAGGATTCAAAGTTATATTTCATTTATTTGAAATAGAATGTTTAATGACATTATTTAAGTCTTTACTGTAACCTTTGATCAATTTGACGCACCCTTGCTGAATAAAAGTATTAATATCTGTTATTTCTTCCCCCACAAAGGAAATTCTTATTGACCGAAAACAAAAACTTCAGAGAAATGCTGTTCTTTTAAACTTATTATTGAACACTGATGATAATAATCATAAATATTGATCATCAGATCCTCATATTAGAGTGATTTCTGAGGGGATCATGTGACACTGAAGACTAGAGTAATGATGATTAATTCTGCTTTGATCACGAATAAATTACACTTTATATTCACATAGAAAACAGATGATTTACATTATAATAATATTTCAATAATATTTTTAATCTAATAAAGGCAGCCTAAGTGAGCAGAAGAGACTTTTCTTTTAAAAACATTGAAAATCTTACCGACCCAAAACGAAGTGTGTGTGCGTGTGTGTGTGTGTGTGTGTGTGTGTGTGTGAGAGAGAGAGAGAACAGAATACAGTGCAGGACCTGCTGTGAGATACAGTAGTGGAGAAATGAAGTGTGTGTGTGTGTGTGTGTGTGTGTGTGTGTGTGTGTGTGTGTGTGTGCGAGAACAGAATACAGTGCTGTGATATACAGTAGTGGAGAAGTGAACAATAGAGCGACTGATAACATCTTATCACTAAATAACAGCAATAAACACTCGAGCTGAAGCTATAGGAGAACACTCTGGAGAATAATCATCACAAACCAGTTCAAATCAACACCATAACCATAACCATCCTTAAACATAACCATAACCGTCCATAACCATAATCATAACCGTCCAAAAACATATCCATAAGATCTCAGTGTGTGTGTTGAGGAGTTTCAGAGGAGTGTGTTCTGCTAACGAGGCCCTCAGGGGTCCCGTAATCCCCTGTGTGTTTGGGGAGGAGGCGTGTGTGTGTGTGTGTGTTATCTGACTCACTCCTACTGGGCCAATACAGTGCCTGACACACACACACACACACTGATTCACGGCTCCATCAGACGCACTGTATTCGCTGTTTAATCTCAAGACGTTCTTCTGTTCACTCTTAATATCTGTTAATATCTCTTCATATCTCGATCATATCCTGACTCTTCATAACTCAATCATATCCTGACTCTTAATATCTGTGATAACTCGATCAAATCCTGACTCTTCATAACTCGATCATACCCTGACTCTTCATAACTCAATCATATCCTGACTCTTCATAACTCAATCATATCCTGACTCTTCATAACTCAATCATATCCCTCTTAAAATCTGTGATAACTCGATCATATCCTGACTCTTCATAACTCGATCATATCCTGACTCTTCATAACTCGATCATATCCTGACTCTTCATAACTCGATCATATCCTGACTCTTAATATCTGTAATATCTCGATCATATCCTGACTCTTAATATCTGTGATAACTCGATCATATCCTGACACTTCATAACTTGATCATACCCTGACTCTTCATAACTCAATCATATCCTGACTCTTCATAACTCGATCATACCCTGACTCTTCATAACTCAATCATATCCTGACTCTTCATAACTCAATCATATCCTGACTCTTCATAACTCAATCATATCCTGACTCTTCATAACTCGATCATATCCAGACTCTTAATATCTGTGATAACTCGATCATATCCTGACTCTTCATAACTCAATCATATCCTGACTCTTCATAACTCGATCATATCCAGACTCTTAAAATCTGTGATAACTCGATCATATCCTGACTCTTCATAAATCGATCATATCCTGACTCTTCATAACTCGATCATATCCTGACTCTTCATAACTTGATCATATCCTGACTCTTCATAACTCGATCATATCCTGACTCTTCATAAATCGATCATATCCTGACTCTTCATAACTCGATCATATCCTGACTCTTCATAACTCGATCATATCCTGACTCTTCATAACTCGATCATATCCTGACTCTTCATAACTCGATCATATCCTGACTCTTCATAACTCGATCATATCCTGACTCTTCATAACTTGATCATATCCTGACTCTTAATATCTGTGATAACTGGATCATATCCTGACTCTTCATAAATCGATCATATCCTGACTCTTCATAACTCGATCATATCCTGACTCTTCATAACTTGATCATATCCAGACTCTTAATATCTGTGATAACTGGATCATATCCTGACTCTTAATATCATGGAAACATTGAAACAAACCTGTAAACGTCTTCTGTATAGAGTCTAGAATATATATATATATATATATATATATATCTGTGTGTGTGTGTGTGTGTTTTAAACATGTTTTTTATTCCTCATAAACTTTGTTTTCAATAAAGTTCACTTCAACTTCAATCTGTTCTTTTAATCGCCATAACCATTCAAACACAATCAGTGTGAGGAAATCAGCAGATTCACTGAAGATAAAGCACATTAGCACAGAATCGGCCTCGAGTGTTTGACTGTCGGAGAGCAAGTGTTGCTCCACTCAATGCAAATGAGCAGCAGGACATGTGTCAGATTCCTGAGGACGGATCGCAATCTGCTCAGATAGCACAAGTCTATTTGATGTGATGTTTACATCTGGAAGACGTATTTTTAAGAGTGTTTGCTCATCTGCAATACGTCTACAGGACGTTACCTGTCAGATGTCAAATAGACGTTTAGAAGATGTCAGTTTAACATCCATTCTAAATCATTACATCTTAAAGACATCTTCTAAACGTCTACTTGACATCTGACAGGAACTGTCCTATAGACGTATTACAGATGAGCAAACACTCTTAAAAATACGTCTTCCAGATGTAAACATCACATCAAATAGACTTGTGCTATCTGGGTGGAGTCACTCCTCTTTTCCAACACTCGCATCTTGGAACCAGTTTCAAAGTTTGCGTTCTCGAGCACAAACACTGTAGTGTGTGAATGAACGGCAAGAACACTTTCTGTTTTTAGTCAAAAAGGCCCATATAAATAACCAATCTTTGCAACAGAAGTGAATCAATGAAAACTAACTTAATCTGGACAATAACTTTATTCTAGATCTACTGTAATCTCCTGTTATCACTGTAAAGCTACTGTGAAACTCTATATTGTTAAAGCGCTGTATAAATGAAGCTAACTTGACTTGTTCTCAAGCCACTGATCTCTTCAGTGTGGGCATTATAATAACTTTATAGCATTGGATTATTCCTCTTTAATCCGGAGTATTAAACGAGTTTTCACAGTGAAATCCATTCAGATGCATTTATTATGATATTTCTCAGCAGATATTCTGTGACGCATCAACTCACTCACATATTCTGCCCAAACTTCATTCTGTCTGATTATTTCTGAATGATGCATCAGCTATTTACAGCTCATGTTTTCCCAGATCTGTTCAGATTAAGAAAAAGTCAACATCACCACATTCTTATGGATATAAACACTACATCATATCAATCACACACCTGCATATTCATTACACAAATATTAATAAAAAGGTTTGCCGGATGCTCATGATTAGATGTTATTGCGTGCATTGATTTTAAAGCAAACTTTAAACAAAAACTCTCGAATGCCTTTATTATTATTTTTTTAAACACCGAAACTAACATTATTGTATTCACGCTGAGTCGCGCGAACTAATTAACAAAACCCCATTATCGCTGTTAACAGCGACGCGAGCGATCTGACGCGCGATGTGGATTCAGTCGCTAATCGGTGCGAACAACCTTCAGTTTCCAGCGAACAGGAATCATTTGTTAGTGTAAGCATTAAGACACAAAAGACGCATGTTTATTGGTAGCCTATAATGTTATTTCGCACTATTCTGAATTAAATCATTAATCTATAAAGTGCATTCCCGTTTTATAGCAACTTAAAGCGGTTTTTAAATTATTTTTTAAATCGGTTCATAGCTTAATTGCACGCTGAAAATAGATTAAAAAACGCAGGGTTGTTTTAACCCAAATCTGGTTCAAATATGTACGAACCCAAAAAAGTCAATGTAATTAAAATTAAAAATAACCCAACGGTTAGGTTTGTTCAAATTTGACCCACATTTGGGTTGAAACAACCCAGCATTTTTTTTTTTGAATGTACAGTGAACATGCTGCTTTATTAATATATCGATTATTACAGAAAGATCGTCTTTTGGTTGAGTAAACGAATTAAATCAAATCCAAACTTGCGTTCATTCACCTCATTCTCGTCGAGTTTAATGTTATTACGGCTCATCTATCTCAGTTAATTTCGATTCAACAGCTTTTCATCATAATCATCATGGAGATCGAATTAGTCTCCAATTCACATAAACTCAATCATGTCAAATAATAGCAGAAGACGCTCCAGTTGAATTCGATTATCCTCAGTATCATTAGACTGTCTAACATGCATTATTCCGAGATCGCATCGCATCGCTTCGCTTTGTCCGACACAGGTTTCGCCAGATAAAATCTAAAGCTTGATCATTGCCTTCATTGAATTAACCGAGCGGCTATTTCTGATCAGACGAGTCTGTGTTTAATCGAGGTGTCAAAGCGGTTCATGATTCTATTATGGCGGAATCACAAACACAAGAGTCTGAGACAACAGGTGCATCAGACAGACGAGTGTGTGTGTGTGTGTGTGTGTGTGTGTGTGTGTGTGTGTGTGTGTGTGTGAGAGAGAGAGAGAGAGAGAGAGAGAGAGATCTGCTGTCTGGAGATCTTAAGAGAGACTTACTGTGTGTGTGTGTGTGAGTGTGTGTGTGTGTGTGTGTGTGTGTGTGTGTGTGTGTGTGTGTGTGTGTGTGTGTGTGTGTGTGTGTGTGTGTGGTTCAGTTATGGGAACAAAATGAAGACAATATCCCAAATCCCGGTTCTTGTGGGGGTCCATTTGGTCCCCATGAGGAAAACCGCTCATAAATCACAATAAGTGATGTTTTTGGAAAATATAAAAATGCATCAAGTTTTCTGTGATGGGTAGAGAGAGATAGAGAGAGAGATACAGAGGGGGGTACAGTATAAAAACTATTATGTCTATGGAAAGTGATATTTTTAATGACCCAGTTTGATTAAACCATCAACATATATGAAGAAAAACCTTTTATATATTTTGAAATATAAGAGAAGAGAAAAGCACTAAATTCAGTTAATGTATTTATCTGACTAAATTATCTGGCAAAAAAGCCAAAGTAGCCACAGGTTTTATTGTAACCATTTTTATTTTTATTTTTTGATTAACTTAAAAAAGGAAATTACCTGGTAGCTTTCAAATGTTTAATTTCATTAAAATTAAAACCAAACTGAGTTAATAATGAAGAAGGTCAAAATATGATGTTATCTGAACCCAATTGATTATCCAAGTTGATTTGACCAAAGAAAAAAGTTGATCATAAATATAACTTTTCACAATGTGAAAAAAATGCATAGAAAAACAAAAAGCAATCGGTTATTAATATTTCATGGGTTCACTCTTGTTTTGCGTGTGTTCATGATTTCTGGGCAAAAGTATGATTATTATCTGGTCAGCCACATAGTTGTAGACATCAAGCGATGTGATCTTGTACGCGAGAGTAGCCTATTTCTTCTCCTTTTTTTCTTTTTTAAACATTTAGAGAAAAATTCCAGCGAATATAATTCCAATCCCAAGAGGGATAAGAGAAACAAACTAATTTATTGAATTTTCAGTTTTTCCAGTAGAAACTTCACAGTTTCCAATTTCATGTTATTTTAGCCTAAATCATGGTTTAGCCTAGCATTGGATATGTCTGCTAATTTATAAAACCATGTTAATATTTTTTTCTATAAACATTTCGTTAGCGTGCGCGTGCACATCGGCGTTATCGCTGAGGTGAAACTTCCCGCGCTTCTTCACACCTTTAATCCACTCCTCCGCCGCTGATTGGCCCGCGCTCCCTTAAATCCCACTACATCCCAGAGATGGACCAGGACGAACTCCAGCATGTTCCTCGACCTGATCGTCTCACAACATCATATCGACCGCGCCAGAATGATGCTCGAGAGTCAGCAGTGCCGGGTCGCGTCGCGTTGCCCGATGTCGCGTTGCCCGGTGTCGGGTCCGTCGAGCCCGGTGTCGGTGGGTTCCGAGTCCTGTTGCTCGAGCCCTGAAGCGAAGACGCTCGCGGAGGCTCGAGTGCGACGCCCTCTGAACGCGTTCATCATCTGGACCAAAGAGGAGCGTCGACGCCTCGCGCAGCTCAACCCGGATCTGGAGAACACGGACCTCAGCAAAATACTCGGTGAGTGCTTCGCGTTTCAGATCGTTCACTGTTAAAAAAACTAAACCGGTAAAATGTACTTGTAATTTTAGTAAATTATACAGTAACTTTCCGTAGCTACAGTAACTTTATACAGAAACGAAAATTTTCGTTAAATCTTAAAACACAACATAATGCAATGCGTTATTCAAAATACAGGCAAAACACCTGTAAAAAATAATAATAAATAATACCGAAAAATCCAACCCGATCTCACCGCAATTCGTGCGTATTTAATGAGGTGGGTTATTCGTACGAATTTGTACGATTTTCTAAAATATCTGCATAAAGTTGCCCAATTCATAAAAATTCGTACGAATGACCTGCCCTTGTCCATGTAAACACACACTGGGGTTTGGAGGGGGAAACTGTTTTTTTTGGGGGGGGGGGGTTAGGTTTAGAAAAATCATTCATACTATTCAACGAATTCGTACTAGTAAGTTCGTGAGATAGCACTGTTTTGACGGACTTTTTTTTGTTATATTTTGTTTACAGTGTTCGTACAAAAATTCAGTTTCTTTTAAATTTAAAAAATGCAGGTTTGTTTAACCCAATTTTGGGTGAAATATGGACAACCCAACCATTGGGTTAAAAAAAAATATTCAAAAATTGAACCCAACTGCCGGGTTTGTCCATATTTGACCCAAATTTGGTTTAAAACAACCCTGCATTTTTAGAGTGTACAATAAAATACGCTACAACACTCATTAATACGATTTGTCTAAACCCAACCCATAAGCTTATATGCATATTGTAATAAAGTGAGCAGCCTATTACAGTTTTGACTAAAACGTTGTGTGTGTGTTTACAGGAAAGACATGGAAGGCCATGTCTCTGGCAGAGAAGCGTCCTTACATGCAAGAAGCAGAACGGCTGCGAGTCCAGCACACCATCGACTATCCCAACTACAAATACCGGCCCCGTCGACGAAAGTGCAACAAGCGTGGCATTAAAATACCTTCAGCTGAGAACATCAGCTCTCCACACGCTAGTTTCCAGCTGAGTTATATTCTTCAGGGTCAAGCCTCGCACTGGCCACGCTCGCTTCCACACACTGGGTTTCCACTGGAGAGCCACCGTGAGACGACGACACCGCATGGAAACCTGGCGTATCACAGCTCGTGTTTCTCGCAGACGAGCGGGCCTGAGCTCTGGGTCGGAGGACCTTCTCTGGAGTTTTACCTGGAGCAGGTGAGGTCCGACATGCTGGACCAGCTCGACCGCAGCGAGTTCGACCAGTACCTCAATCCTGGAGCCCAACACACTCCCAACAGAGACTCCAGTGTCGAACGCTTCCAGTGAACCAGCCTGTGTGATACACTGTGTTTATTTATTATATGGCCGGCACTTTACAATAAGGTGCACTAGTTATCATTAGTGAGTGTATTTACTTAATGAGCAATGCATGCTGTTAATAATAGCTGTTCATTCATGTTAGTTTACTGTGACTAATGTTAACAAGTACAACCTTTGATTTTAATAATGTTGACATTAATATTAACTAAGATTAATAAATGCTATAGAAGTATTGTTCATTCTTAGTTCATGTTAACTAATGAACATTATTGTAAAGTGCTATTATTATATGTAATGCACATGCATGTTGAAAGATCATGACATTGTTTACCTTGAGTTTGGTGTGTATTTATATATTGTTTTCTTTTACTTGTGTAAAGTTTGCTTTTTTATGATGTCATTAATAAAATATCTGATCAATCACTTTATAGTTTTGGATGAACTGATTTAATATCTGAATGACATGCAAGTTTGCAGATAAATTATTGATATATAAAAAGGAATAAAACATTATTTTGAAGCATGTACACTTCATTTGTTAGCTTAGCGAGGAGGAACTGCTGTTTGCTGTTTTACTCACGCCTTTCTGTCAACAAACCCTCCCTGAAAATCCCCAAACACATACGTCCACTGAACAAAGTGTGTCAGATTTATGAAGAAACCTAATACGTCATGTGCTTCAAGCTCGACAGAGAACAACTGATGTGTTCGTATCAGTCGTAAAGATCAGTATAACACATGAATTGTCTTGCGGCAACTCAAGAGTAGGAGGGTCGTTCCTGGTATTCAGTGCCTTTTGGCCATCATAGAGTGTAGAAAATCTAGTTTTTAAAAGAAATGTATTGTAGGGTGATGCAAAGCATTTGAAAAAAATATTCTGGTCAAAAATGTTCACCCTGTTACTTATAGTCTTGTAAAATGTTCACCCTGTTACTCTTGTAAATTTTCATTGTCACTGACTTGTTAGCATGTTTTTCTGCTGGTTTTATGAAATTAGTGTCAAAAAAACAACAACTGCTTGACAGGGTGGATAAAATAATAACAGGGTGGACAAAATAATAACAGGTGGACAAAATAATAAAAGGTGGACAAAATAATAACAGGTTGACAAAATAATAACAGGTGGATAAAATAATAACAGGGAAGACAAAATAATAACAGGTGGACAAAATAATAACAGGGAGGACAAAATAATAACAGGTGGACAAAATAATAACAGGTGGACAAAATAATAACAGGTGGACAAAATAATAACAGGGAGGACAAAATAATAACAGGTGGACAAAATAATAACAGGGAAGACAAAATAATAACAGGTGGAAAAAATAATAACAGGTGGATAAAATAATAACAGGGAAGACAAAATAATAACAGGTGGACAAAATAATAACAGGGAGGACAAAATAATAACAGGTGGACAAAATAATAACAGGGAAGACAAAATAATAACAGGTGGACAAAATAATAACAGGTGGAAAAAATAATAACAGGTGGATAAAATAATAACAGGTGGACAAAATAATAACAGGTGGACAAAATAATAACAGGGAGGACAAAATAATAACAGGTGGACAAAATAATAACAGGGAGGACAAAATAATAACAGGGAGAACAAAATAATAAAAGGTGGACAATATAATAACAGGGAGGACAAAATAATAACAGGTTGACAAAATAATAACAGGGAGGACAAAATAATAACAGGTGGACAATATAATAACAGGGTGGAGAAAATAATAAAAGGTGGACAAAATAATAACAGGTGGACAAAATAATAAAAGGTGGACAATATAATAACAGGGAAAACAAAATAATAACAGAGTGTATAAAATAATAACAGGGCAGACAAAATAATAACGGGGAAGACAATATAATAGGGATAAAATAATAATGGGTGGACAAAATAATAACAGGGAAGACAAAATAATAACAGGGTGGAGAAAATAATAATGGGTGCAAACTAATAATAAGTGGTATAAATAATGGATGGATGATTTCACATTTACATTATTACTGTATTAGATGGGAAACATTATGTAAAATACTGCAGTGAACATTAAATTCACTAGGCTACTTCTTCAACTTTAAACATCAAATACTTTTCAGATATTACAGGGTGGACATTCTGATCTAAAATCAGCCAATGCACCATGACTGAGCAAAAACAAGCTAACATAGAAGGCTTATCAATAAAGAATTGAATTGTCTTTAAAACTATTGTTTTAAAAATATTGAATATTTCTCTTAACTGAATCATCTTAAAGAAACATTACTGGTAAAATGACTGATAAATCATCATGAAAATGGTGATAAGTGGTGGCTAAAAATATGTTGTGAAATGTTTCACTTCTTTTAATCAACTTAAATAGAGTTGAAATTGTGTTATTTATGCGTAAAGGACCGTTCACATCAAGCACGATAACTATAAAGATAACGATGAAGATAACTATATGATTGCGTCCACACCAACGACCGATAACTGTCTTTTAAACACGCGCGCGCCCGCGCTATGTTTTTAAAGTAGCGAAAATGCTTTACGTTACAAACAAATATCAAAAGAAAAACAGGCGCTTTTGGGTACAAGACATCCTTAAAAGAGGAGAAGAGTTGGCAGCGCATCTAAACAGTGAATCTAGCTGATGAAATCATGCAGTGATGGGATCTCACGGGAATTCGTACGAATTTTACGAGGTGGCTAATTCGTAACAATTCATACGACCTCAGTCGTACAAATTAGTACGATTTTTGCTAAATCGTACATATTTTACGAATTGGCCAATTCGTATGAATTCGTACGAATGACCTACCCCTGACCCCGCCCCTAAACATAACCGTCACGTGGGTTTAGACAAATCGTATGAATTCGCACGAGTGAGGTCGTACGAATTAGTACGAATTAGCCACTTTTTAATCACTCGTACGAATTCGTACGAATTGGTCGTGAGATAGGGTAGTAAAAACATCACTAGTCACACTTTTGGATAACGCCTTTTTTTTTTCACTGCAACTTCAGAAATATTGTCAACTAGCGCTGGATAGCCTACCTGAGGTAATTTTGTTACACTATGCTAAACTGCATATAGGGTTAGGGTTATTCCCAGGATACAACCGATTGCTTTCCATATATCCATCTTTTTTAACGGTTTGACTTGTCAAACAGTGGAGGATTTTTTTTGTACCTCGACGATTAACTTCTCTGGAATGTCATCCGCCATTTTAAATGCGCGAGATCGTTAAATTAGAATGGATTCTGATTGGTTGTCAGTGTTTTATCGTTGGACAGCTGGAAAAAAATCGTTCTGAAAGTGATCCCATCGATATCGTTCGTCATGTCTTTATCGTTATAGTTGTAGTGTGAACTCTGTTATTCTTTAATATGGAGAACGATTTTTAGAATTATATCTTTATAGTTATCGTGCTTGGTGTGAACGGGCCTTTAAATTGATATTGTTCCAGCATTTTAAAGCAGTAAGACCGAATCCCAGGAATAACAGGGAATCTTTGTGTGTTGCTAACATGTATTGCCCTAAAACTGAACCCCTGACAAATATCTTCCAGATCTGTCAACAGAGTGACAGTGAAGCTGACATTCCATAACTAAAGCAATGATTACAATAACTGATGCCAACTCTGGAATGTGTAATATTGATTATGAGCCGGCACACATGAGGTCATATTTGCTTGTTTACCGTCTTTTTCAGGAATATGCCTTTTAAGATAACACCCAAGAATGTTACACACGTTGTAAACAGAAGTTTTGTGGAACATTCAAATAATTTTACAAGACGCTGGAAAATAACTAAAGTAATTCATTTTCTTGACATGCATCCAGATCATTAAAAAATTGGCCGTGCAACAGAATAAGTTAGCTTAGCTATTTATAAGCAAGAACTTTTTAATAAGCAAGGTGTTGAAAACAGTCAATTATACTGCTTTATAACAAACAAACATGGTTGGCAAAACATTCCCAAAACATGTAACGTTTATTTTTATATTAGCCAGGAAAGCTTTCCTGGCTAAGAAAAAGGAAAAATAGGACTTAATAATAAAATAGGACTTTTGCTTTGAAATATTGTTTAAAATTGATTGATAGAATTAACCCGAGCACAAAATCCGTCATGGAGGATTAAATCAAATTGATACATGTGTAAGATGTCGATCTTGTATCGCTCAGTAACCGATTTTACATTAAGCGCAAAACATAAAAAAGGAATAACAATTATGACTACTATAGGATAACGATAACATTAAATTAATTCATTGCCACGGAATTACCCGGTCGTGTAAAGAACAAACCCACGTGTTTATGATCTTAATTCTTGTTTTTCATCATTTTAACTATAAAATGAAACGATTTTGACTGATCTAATACAGGTTTTAATATACTTTGTTTATGAAAAATGACACATTTCAGCATGGTATATAGTTATAAAAATAAAACCTAAAATTATCCTGCAGGGACCTTATTTGTTTCTCAGAAATATTACCAAACAGGAACGTTAGAGGAACATTATAAGGGAATGTTCATGTGTTTGCGCGGATACTCCAAACCGGCCAACTTGTTTTCATATTATTTTAATTTATTGTAAAACTCATAAACACACCGGTTTGAAGCGCTATAGTTTACGAGTGCGCTGTTATTACACGTCACGAACTAACCTCGCGAGCGCCTGTCAATCACACGTCACGTGCACATGTTGACCACGTGATGGCGCCATAACCCAACAAGTGTGTGTAGCAAAATCAGAACAAAATAACATAACAAGCTGACGTTATGCAAATATCAAGGTATCATTAGGCTAAACTTAATGTCTAATGTTAAAGATTGTTTTTACGTTTGACACGCTAGTCTACTCGTTGTTTTATTAAATGCTTGAATAGATGAGTTTGAGACTAAGTAAAATGTGTGTGTGTGTGTGTGTGTGTGTGTGTGTGTGTGTGTGTGTGTGTGTGTGTGTGTGTGTGTGTGTGTGTGTGTGTGTGTGTGTGTGCGAATGGTCCTGATG